TAGAGACACTACAGGAAAAATGTCTAATACTGGCAGTTCTAACTGGCGATTTTAACGACGGTTTTGCCGGCAGTTTCACCGCCGGCATTTACCGGCGGGTCGCTCTCCCGTTGAACGATATCGGACGGCTTAAGCTATGTCGCCGATAAATCCCTCAAACCGCCGGTACTATACCGGCGGTTACCGACGGCTTCCGGCAGTGGTCCGTTGAAAACCCGGCGGTGTATGCCGCTAGTACTACCGTCGGCCTGACCGCCGGCGGTGTACCGACACTAGATTAATTACTATTGGTGGCTATTGAACCTTTTGCAAAACCAACTACACTCCTCACTTGTGAGAGCTCGTTCCTTTTATTTGCCTTCCAAGATTTGAGTTTTTCTCCCAGGATCGTCCGGGACGATATTGAGATCGTCCGAGACGATCAGTGCATTGAAACAGCTGATTTTTCTGGAATGGGATCGTCCAGGCCGTTTTTGGATCGTCCTGGGACGATCAGATGAGACAAAAATCCCGAGAGCAAAATCAAAATTATCGGCCTGAGGAATCGTCCTGGACTATGTGGCGATCGGCCGGGCCGATCAGGCTTATGTTATAAGGAAATCAGCTCGTTTTGAGGAGAGAGAAAATCATTTTATAAAAACAAAAATATCTGAGGAGAGAGAAAGAGAAGGAAAGCGAAGGAAAAGCTAGATTTCGGAGGCCGCAGAGCGCTTTTCGTCCGTCGCCGCTGTTGAGCAATTTGTTTATCTCGTTGTAAGGACTCCGAATCCTATTTCTGTTTTCGAAGATGTTGAGTTTTGGTCGTTTTGTGCTCGGATTTGTATTTTCGTTTCAAAAAACGCGCACCGTTTTGTATTGACGAAACTTTCACCGCACAACTTTTAATATGTTATAGATACGAATATTCTACGCGATTTGATTATTTTCTGGAACGATTTCACCGGTTATTTTGGGTTCTACGCGATTTTGATCGAATAGAAAAATATTATGATGTTTATTGATATGGATTTAGTAGAGTAATAGTCTTATATTATTATCGTGAACATTCTATTGTAATTTGGTGAATTGTGATTTTGTAGTATTTTTGTGTAAATTCCGTATACTGCTGTTATGCCGCTGGATTTTCGTACGATTTTCTGATTTTCGCAAAATTAATGATTTGAATACATATGAATGTGACTATCTGATTATTGATGCTGAAAGACAAGTGGAACTTGGTTGAACGTTGGTTGGAGATTGACTTGACCTATACAGGATGGTGGGCCGATGGGCTTTCCTTTAAATCATTGATCATTGATATAATAATTGGGAGTCATAAGGAGTTTAATATGTCGACGGGCGGCCGACGGGCACAGAGTGATGACTCTTATTGAAACCAACGTATGGATATCTACAACAGCAATATGGATTCTACAACAGCACTATGGATTTCTACAATAGCACTATTGATAATAGCCAGTGTTTGTACTTGTTCAGTAAGACCATTGTATGAAATTGCATATGTACGATATTGCATTGTATGGATTTCCTGATAGGCATGACCTATTGATTTTTGATTGATTTATTGATATTGACGGATTTATTGTATTGAATTGACTTATTACTGATTGGATTTATTGACGGATTTCTGGGTTTCTGTTACTGCACGATTTCATGGATATTGTACGTTATTGATTCATGGATACCGACACCATTATGGATATGGATATTGTATTGATTCATGGATACAGATACCGAGATTATTGATTCATCGATATTATGGATTCATTGATTCACGGACATGATTGATACTACTGATACGGATACCGATACTACAGATCCACTGATACATTGATTCGTAATACCAATCATTGATTGATTGATTGATTGGGTTGATTGTTTATTGATTTATCGATTTGATTGTTGTATATGATTTTATTGCATTGATTGATTTCAATTGTCTTTGCCGATCGTATTGATTTATTTCAACTGCTTTTACGATGTATGGATTTGATCGATTTATGGGATTCTAAGCCGATTGATATTATTGACCGGAAGTAATTGCTTTACTGAATTGATTGATGCGGTTTCACTGTTGTAGCATCGTTCATGGTCGTCATTGGATTGTTCTCTTTATGGATATGGATACATACGCTGCCGTACTGACAAGGAGCAAATGATATTGAATAATTCATCGATTTGCAAGTGTATGTTTTGATACGATTCCATTCTATTGATTTGACTGATGTTATAGACTGATACGATAAGTAAGATGGCTAGACGACTGTATTGATGTAACTGATGTTATCGATTGCTATGATAGAGATTGTAGAGATTTGATGCATGCATTGATTTCTTGAGCTTTATGGATTTCCTACTGTTTACTGATTTTATTGATTTCTGTTCCGTATTGATTTTCGAATCTGCATTGACTCATTGATCATGTACGATTGATTGATTTGACTTGATTTGATTGACCTGCATATTGTTTCTAGTGTCGTGCTTTGATTTCTGTTGTAGGCTTTGGTGACCTGCTGGGCAATTTAAGCTCATTATATGTGGATATTTCAGGTGCAGAGCCTCCCGCGTGAAGCTTCTTTGGTCGCTAGTGTAGTCTTGTTTTTGTAGCCTATGGCAGGCTTTTGTTTTGTAGCCGTGTGGCTATTGTACATATTCTTTTGGACGTTCCTTTTGACTGTATATATGTTGTCTATATGTTGAAATGTGAATTATAGTAGTTGTTGTATTTCTTTTCTGTAATGCAATTATCTCTGGATGACTGTATTGATCTGAACGAGAAAAAGAAAGAAAAGAATGAGAAAAAAAAATAGATATGGAAGAAGGTCAGATGAATCCTTTCACTATTGATATCTGGGACGTTACATCACTCTCCCACCAACATTAACTACAATGATAAACACCATTATCCTCCTTTCTCTCCAACTCTAATCAAGTTGGACCTCCATACACATGCACTCATCTTAGTAGGACTCGCACATGTTTCCTATTCTTGGTTGTTCCTAGCTAAGACCTCCATAGTTTTATTTCTTTTTTCATTAAGATGACTTTTTATCAATCTCGATTTTAATATTGCCAATTACAAATTCAATCATATTTGGAGGAGGGAGAAATGACATATTGCAACTGGCAACTCTTTTATGTTTGTGCAATATAAGTGGAGTTATAAGGCTATGTACATATGATGCGCCTAAAATGATGTGAGATGAACAAGTACATGTATAAGTGAAAGTAGAGTTATAAGTGGGAATTGAGCTAATATGTATGATTGAGTGGATATATAAGTAAAAGTGAAGGTATAATGAGACTATGAGAGATATGCAATGTGAATGTGAAACATATTTTAAAATATATGTTACATGTTAAGGCCTTGAATGAATGGAAAATGGTTGATAAAGTTAAGGTCCATGCTATATATATGTTTCCATTTATAGATTTACCTTGGCAATCTAGTTTGTGATGTTTATTGGGATGTTGTGAGAGAATATTTATAGTGGATTGTTGCATATAATTCTTTTGATGATATGAATAAAATTAATTATGATATTTATATTTATGTTTATTGTTGTTCAATGTATTTAGATGGCTCTAGGTGTTATGATAATTGAAGAGTTAAATTAAATAATAATTCTCCCAATTAGATTACTAGATCATGATTGGAGCTACTTCAATCTTTTCACAAATATACACATTTCGCATTCTATCTCTATGTGTAAATCCACTTATCCACCTAAGCATCATGATCATTTGTGACACTTAATTTAATTTTATGCTTCTCTTTTAATGACAGCATTTTACGTCATTAAACATTGCCATTCTCATCACCAATATACAAATTTTATCCTTAAGTTTGAGGGGTATTTTTCTATGACATAGCAAGCCTGATGTATTCCTCCACTTCATCCATCTAACTTGAGGTCTATTAATAATATCGTCAGCTATGCCAACATCATGTTGAACAATAGGTTTGAGATATCTAAAATATGAACTCATTAAAATGACTTGATCATCCAATGTCACAATCCCACAGCCACTAGATTAATTACTATTAAAATTACACTCTGTGCATTTGGTATTTGATCTACTTAAACAAAAATATTAATTTACTGAATATACAAAAATAAAGCTAAGCAAAAAAGATAATATTGTTGTTAAATATATGACAATTTTGAATACTATTAATACAAAATAAGAAAACTCACTTCAAGACAAAAAATAAAATGCTGAGATACATCAATGCTCCAAAGAGCATGCACGGCTCATCTAAAATTATTGAAATGATAATAAATATAAATTTTATTTATATTCATTAAACTTCTTCATTTAAATAGCAATTAACTTAATATATTCAAGAAATATTAATCCATTATATAAGAATTTATTTAAGATAAAAAAATTAATGGGAAATTAAATGCATATTTCTTAAATATAAAAGAATTTACTTAATAGATAAGAAATTGATGAAGAATTACATACATATCACTTAAATTTTAGTTATTCAAAAAAAAAAAAAACTAATAATCATGTTATTTTGTAGCCACATAATATGTGCATTTGTCAAGATTGTTAAAATCAAATCAGACAATAAACTGGATGAATGACAGGTTCACAATTCGATTGGTTTGTACTAGGTTTGAACAGAGGTCGAACCATATGACGTAACAAATAATATTATTATTAAAAAATAATAAAATTAACATAATAATATGACAATGTAACATTAAACCTTATAATTCTAAGAATTTAAACTTTATATTTTTTTAGTAGATTATCATATATTATATCTCAATAAAATTAAATTATAAACTTATTTAATTAAATTAAAATGATGAATATAATTTTCTATGTGAATATCTAATAATTTAATTATAATTAGCTTTGATATTTTTACATATATAACACTTAAAACTATGTTATTTACTCATCTAACGCCTAAACTTATCTATATACACACATACGACTGAAAAGTACTTTACCTTTCTAAAAAACCACTCAGTCTCCTCTCTATGAAAACCCGCCTGATACCCTAGCTTGTTTGGGCACGAAACTCATCTTCCTTTGACATTTGCTCATCTTCTCCATTCCATCGAAGAATGAAATGGATCTCTTTTCCCGTCAAAACGCAGCCCAAGGTTGGCGTCAGAGCCTCCCATCTAGCCTTCTGTATGTTCTACCTCTAAAACAGAAAAAAATCTATTAGGTAAATAGTCTCTCGTACCTTCTAGCCTCCCATTTTAGCTGTTTGGTACAAGTGACTTAGATGGTCTTATGATTTCGAGATATTTAATTTCTTAGATGGTTCTATTATTTGCAGTAAAAGATAATATATTCATTTTAACATAACTATGCATTTTAGTAGAACATAAGTTTTTCCTTTTCCTCTAGTTTTACTTCATTAAATTTTTCTCATTAATAACTTCTTTGCTAGATATAGATTCCAACAATTCGTGTTATATTGTCTTTAAATATGGAGGATGTTGGAGTGTAGTAAAGGGACAGAGCAGGCTAAAATATATTGGTGATAGTCAGAGAACTTTAAAGCTTGGGAGAAGTGATGTTAATTTATTTTTACTAAAAGAACGAACTGAAGCGCTATGCCCATGGCTAAGGGGTCATGCTTACGACCTACACTATCACATCAATGGAATATCGCCTCAAAATTGCATGCCCATTATAAGTGATATATTTGCAATGAACATGTTACATATTCTTCTCATTGCCACATAATGGTGTTGGTTGTCATTGTGAAAGAGCTTGAAGAAGATATAGGTATTACTTGTGAAAGCCAGCATGTGGATATGCATGATTTATGTGACAATAGAATGGAAAACAATGATGTAATAGTTGGTGGAATGTCTTATGGTTTTATTGAGAGTCCCAATTTAGAGGAAAATTCTCTAGTTGTAGGATCGTGGTTTGAGGTTTCGTTCAGTTTCAAACAAGTCATTCGTTCCAACGCAATAATACATAACTTTGATATCAAGATTAAGGCTAGTGATAAATCAAGAGTTATTGCTACATGCTCATACCATGGTTGTCCTTGGAGGATACAAGCTTTAATATGTTCTGATGGCCACTCCTTTGAAGTGAAAAAATTACATTCTACATATTTATGCCCAGGGGTAAACAGAGCTGGGAACAAACAAGAAAACACAAGCTGGGTTGTGCACAAAATTCAGGACATTGTCAAAAGAAATATTGATATTACACCAATGGACATTAGTAATAACTTGGAGACTTCTTACGGTTTAAGTTTGCAGTACATGAAAATATGGCGATCAAGGGCACTAGCAAGAGACCAAATGTTTGGATCAATAGATGATAATAAGTGGGTTCCAACACTAAGGTGTGAATTACTCAAAAGAAATCCAGGCTCTCATATAACATATCAATGTGACAACACAACAAATCATTTAAGAGATTCTTTATTAGTTTTAAAGTTTGCATTGATGGCTTCCTCGCAGGTTGTAGATTTTTAATTGGCGTTGATGTGTGCCATTTAAAATTAAAATATTTAGGTGTACTACTTTCTGCGAGTTGTCTTAATGGGAATAATGGTCTCTTCACAAGTGCATCGTTATTGCTGAATCTGAATCAAGGAAGAGTTTGGAGTGGTTTTTGAAGAATTTGTTAGAAGCTTTTAGTTGTGATATAGAACATTTGACATTCATATAAAATATGGAAAAAGGACTAGGTGAAGTAATTAAGTTTTTTTTCTAAAAGCCGAGCACATGGTGTGCATGAGACACCTTTGGAAGAATATTAAAAAAAAATTCACTGTGAAGTGGCAACAAATTACATAAGGTGGTTTTGAATGCTGCAAATAATTTTAGTCAACACAATATCAATGCATATTTGGAAGAAATTCGAAGCCTTAGTCTTGGAGTATTCATTCCAAGTGCATTGACATTAAGTGGTTGAAATCCACTTTTTCTCAACATATTAAAAATCACTACAACACAAACAATATGCCAGAATATTTAAATTCATGGGTGGAAAGAGACTAGGAGTAAGCCAGTCGTGCATCTAATCGACATGGTTAGAGGATTGATGATGGAACAACGCTTTCAAAGGAAGTTAAATTGTAGTTCTTGGAAGGGGCCACTTGTTCCTTGTGTGGAGGAGTATCTTAGAGATGTTATAACAATGAAAGATCACTTTATTATTTGCCAGCTACTTCAACCAAAGCTGTGGTCAAAGGAAGATACGATCATCATGAGGTGGACATTGAGAACCATTTATGTAGTTGTGGATTTTGGCAATTGTGTGGACTTCCATGCGTACATGGTGCATCATTCATTGAATCAAAACACTGCAATCTATGGTGTTGCAAACTATTTTCATGGCTTCTGTTTTGATGATTGACAAACACTATCTCTCTTGGACTACTTGTTGCTTCTAACTTTTCAGGAATCGAAGATCGGACGATCAAGAGGAAGCCAAGTCCAGGATCGCGTAGGTTTAGGGTTGAGTCAGTCTGTAATTTTATTTTTCATCTTTTGAGTCTACTTGTAATAATCAAAAAGACTGATGCTAAGTAACCCTCCACACACACACTTGAGAGGCTTAGAAATTCTATTTTTTTCCCACATCGGCCCGGCCGATATTTATATCGTCCGGGACGATCGGCTTAAAA